GTCGGGTCTTTTCTGCCCGTGCGTGCCCGCTAGGGGGCGCGCGCGAGCAGAAAAAAATTGCCGTCTGGAGACGGCAACCCGCAGATGCTGCAGTGCCGTCCGTCCGTTTTTTTACTACGGGCGGACGGCAAGAGGTTAAACCACGGTTTTCAGTATAGCTTTGGGGTTTTCCAGAGCATTGGTATTTGTCTCCTGCTTTATTCCAAAGGTGACATCTCTTAAGTCCAGTTCAAGATGTATGTGTGACCCCAGCCAGCCCTCTCCCTAAGCCCTCGTTCACACCTGAACGTTTTGTAGCGCGTTCTACGCTCGACGAACGCTCTACAAAACGCTCAAACATCTAAATCCCATTGTAGTCAATGGGTCTGGTTCACACCTTGGCGTATTTCAGCCCGTCCCTAACGCGCTACAAAACGGCCCACGCCTGAAAAGGTACATGTACTACTTTGGGCCGTTTTTGTTGCACGTTTCCATTGGGATACAGCCAAGTAGCCCTCGGAAACGCGCGGTTGTCGCACAATTTTTTTACCGCGCGACAGACGCGCATATGCAATACGCCTAGGTGTGAACCAGGGCTTAGGGAAGTTATGGGAGGGGGATTGGGATGCCAAAATACATCCAGATCATGACCAGACCAGATTCTTTCCGGACCCAAAATGCATCCTAATGTATCCCTATGCTATTTCTGGCCTCTGTTCACACAAGTGCAGTCCTTTCCAGTCCAGACCAGACCAGAAAAATAGTGCATGTCTCATTTTGTCACTGGAACTGTGCGCAGGTTCACATTTTCTGGACCAGATCAGTGTGAACCTGCCCTAAAAGCCAACATTTTAGCATTTTGCTGGTCTGGAGCATTCAGGTGTGTCTTAACACAATGCCAAGGAGGCAAGACATCAGCAATGATCTAAGAGAAGCAATTATTGCTGCCCATCAATCTAGGAAGGGTTAGAAGACCATTTCCAAACAATTTAAAGTGCATTATTCCACAGAGAAAGATTCAAGACAGTTACCAATCTTCACACACTCCAGGAAGTTGACACATACTCAAAGAAGGTGTACCTTCTTTTTCACACGTGTGTGTGTGTGTGTGTGTGTGTGTGTGTGTGTGTGCGCACAATATATATAAAATAGGAGTTCTTGTTTTTTTTTAATATTTAATCAGGGAAATCTAAAATATTTTTTATATTTACCACTTGCTGCCAGCATGTGGGTTGCTCTAACTCAAAGTGTATCCACAGGCTCAAAAAAATGCATTGAACTCTGAGCACAGACGGCTAATTCTCTCCCCTCTTCTGCAGTATGCGTGAATCCCACACATACTCAGTCATATAACTGGCAATAGCATTGGGAGTTATAAACAGGGTAGCTTACTTCATGACTGCACTTGTTTTCAAATCCTGTAAAGATTCTGGCAAAATGCGCTGAGGCAATTAGTGAAAAGGTTTTCACAAAAGGGTAAAGAACTGCAAAAAAAAAAAAAAGGGACTTTATTTCTGCATACTGGGGCACTGAGGAAAAAGCCGTATGTAAGCTCTGTGTTCATCTGTGTTGGAGCTTATTCAGGGCTAATTACCTTTTTTGTGTCGGGGAGGGGAGGGTTAAAGAAAAATGTATAAACAGTAGAAGAAACTTTGCCAGGCTGTTTCTGCAGGAAAAACATACACCCTCCTATGCTCTCTCTTGTGTCCTGCAGCCTGGGCAAACATCACATGCTGTCTGGCTAACATGAACATTGTAGTTGTTTTGCGTCATTGGAGGTTGCAAAGAGTCTGATGTTTTCAATCAAGCAGATCTGAAAGAATTTTTAAAGAGATCTGAAACCAGCAATCACAAACCACACATAGAAACATGTTTTTTAAAAGGAGAACTATGAGGTGAGTGATTCTCAACCAACCTCATAGTTCGAGCCGACGTGTGACAGTTTAATTGTCGGCTCAATAGATCGGGAAGTGAGCGAACACATAACGTCGCTCGCTCACTTCTCGATCCTGTCCCTGCAGAGAGTGGTGACTGTCACTCATGGCTCCCTGCAGAAATTACCCCCTCCCCGCTCCGATACTCCAGCGCTGACTGGAGGAACGAACGGGTGAGGGGGCGGGTACAGCTGGCTCTGCCTCTAGATAGGCAGAGCCAGCTGTCAATCACGCAGCTGGGTGGATCTCGACAGTATTGTCTGGATCCATCCCGGCTGCGGCGATCTCAGTATAACGCTGTAGCGGTATACTGAGCTTTGGGTCACGGGAGGACGCTAGTTTATGTCCTCCCGTGACCCTGAGGAGAATATGGGGAAAAACACCTAAAAAAAAATGCACAGTATATGGTCGGCTTAAAAGCACTGAAATTACTATATCCTTTACTGCAGTTCCAAGAGGTGACTTGAAATGAACTAGAATGGCTCTACCTTAAAGTGCACATTTACCCCCTTCACTAAAAATCACATCAGCGTGCAGCTCTGCATCTTACATTCATTAAACTTTTTTCCTTTTTCTTACAATTACTATTTTTCCACTTCCTGGTCCTCTTGGGCATCAGATGTAACCCTGGGAAGAGATGCATCCTGGGAAGGTTACATCACCAGTGCATTGCTGGGAAATCTCACCTGTAAACTGCAAAATCCCGCAAAGGTTCCATTGAGTAAAAGGAGATGGATTAATCTGCCCTTAGTAACAATGGTCACTGTGAGAAGAAGGGGGGGGGGGCAAGGTATGCAAAGAGAAAAAAAAGCTGCCAGATATCAATAAGTGTCTGTTGATCGCCATTCCTAAACCTTTGTTAAGGTTCCATTTTTAGGATTAGGGGAAAGTTCCTCTTTAAGTTTGTTTTTTTCTGTAACCACCGTTTAGATCTGTTGCAAAACTGAACATGTTTACTAAAAACTTTTGTTTCCCAAATTTCAGCTGCAAGATCCAGTGACCTGGACAATGAGAGGTAAGAAAACCAGAGAAAGGAATTGTATGCAGCAAAACTATGGCACTGTAAAATAGCTGATGCAGAACATAAATATATAAATATAAAAATGTTTCATTTCCACTGCTACTTGGCAGTGGTAGCATAGATGTTTGTCTGTTTAAATCTACATCTTTGCAGAAAGCTCCATAGTAGCGCTTTGAAATCTTGCATTACACTCTGCATGTGAACGTTGCATAGAATGATTTATAATGGCTGCACCTAGAGTGAAAATGGTACTCAGCTGTAACACTAATCTTAAAGTAAAATTAAAGTCTTATTTTTTTTTTTTTACATGCATCTACTGATAGCAAGTAGTAGATAAATGCAAAAGCCTTTTGAAAAATAAAAGTTACCAAATAAGTAAATACTTACCTCTGTCATCGCCGCTCGCTCCCGGCTGCAGCATCCAGACTCCCTGAACTGCAGTGCAGGAAGATCTGGGCGGGCGCATGCACAGTGGAGATCACCGAGGAGAGACTCAATAGAAGTCAATGCACGCAGCCGTGAGTGTGCACGTCAGACAGACACCGTCGGACTTGAAGAGTCTGCACTGGATCTGAGACCGGTACCAGCGCTGGAGGGACTACTGGAAGGAAGATGGATGATGATAATCGGAGCAAGAGGCATCACTCAAGTTAAGTCCCTACAGCAGGATTGCTGTAAAAAGGGAATGGTACCTAATAATAATGTGACATTGTTCAGACATTGAGTTGTAGTTCGGAAGGCAGTTGTGACACAAGGAAGTGCTTAATCACAGGCCTCAATGACATTGTGTCAGTGCATTGGGGAAATGCATCCATTTTGTCAAACGCAGCCTGAACGCAAGACAAGGCAATTTGCCTTGTCATGGGTGGTGACAGTTCACACTGAGTGAGGGCACCCTGAACCAAAACTACTACCACAGTATTTTTCAGTGCCATGCAATACCCTCTGATGTACACCATGTTGGTCAGGGGTTCATCCTACAGGAAGATAATTAATCGAACAGTAGGTGTGATTGCGTGGTAGTTTGCAATTAAAACACTGACAGACACACACAACTACAGACTCGCACACTCAGACATTCTCTCACACACACACACACACTTCCCAAAACTTTTTAGGGGTTCAGTGTGGGCTGTTGTGCTGTTACGGAGCTCCATCCATACGTGCATTGCTTGTACAGCTCCCTTGCACTCCCTGTAGAGGTTGCGGGAGCCAGAATGTGACGTCGCGAAGGGAGCAGTAAGCCATGCACATATGGATGGCGCTCCCCTTGCAGCCATACCTCCAGGCCACTCCACCCCACCTCAAGCTGGCACACGGCGCCGTGCATGACAACTGACAGTTCTGTGCTATGGGGGAGGCTGAGTAGCTTCTCACCTAGTGCAGTAGAAGCCTGCCTTTGCTTTGATGTGATGTTGGAGGCCTCTCAGATTGGCATTACCATAATCACATCATCTTTTCAATTCTACAGGTGACTATTTTTTTTATTTTACAGTCAATGGTCTGCTATAAATGTTATGCATTTTATCCAGTACGCTTTGTGATGTCTTACAGCTGGGGGTATGTGCATCCGAGACTGCTCAGTGTTCCTGAGTTATGTCATCATGCCGCTGAAATCTGGGTCAGTCTAACAAATTTCAGAAGAAACCTCCTGCTTTTTAAGGCTGAAAATCCAGGGAAGGTAAGACGTTTGTTTCCAGGCATTTCATTAATTTGCTGGGGCATAGTACTAAAATGACTAGATAAATGTGAAATGTAAAATGGTTTACTGTGCAGACTTAGACAAACACAAAGGTACTGTTTCTGCCTTTGACAAATCTTCAAGCCATTTTTGAGCAAAAAGATTTGAGGCCCCAGTTATAATGCAGCTTTACCACGGCCATACCACTGCTTAAAAAAAAAAAACATTTTGAAAGCACATCGGTGTGCTTTATAAATGCGCATTACTCCATTCATAACAATAAATAGGTGGGGCATGTCACATGACCTGGCAAAGTCAGGTTACTGGCTTCTTTAAAGGAGAACTATGGGGTCAGGGCTTTTCCCAATAGTTCTCCGAAGGGTAACGGAAACGGTTCCCAACAGTTATGTCTGGATCCGCCCAGCTGCGTGAATGACAGTCAGTGCTGGAGGATCGGACAGGGGAGAATCCAGTCACTTCCCTGTCACGGCTCTCTGCAGTGACAGGATCGAGAAGTGAGCGAGCGCCGGTATGTGTTCGCTCACTTCCCGATCTACTGAGCCGACCTGTGACAGTTTCATTGTCACAGGTCAGTTCAGATTATGAGGCTGAGTGAAAAGCACTCGCCTCATAATTCTCCTTTTTAATTAAGGAGTTCTCTCTACAAAATGAAGTAGAAAGATCTCTGCGGGACACTGCAGGCACACCTTGCTTGTAAAATAAAGGCTACGTATAGATGTGCAGTAGAGAGCCTATATCAGTGATGGCCAACCTTTTTGAACCCGAGTGCCCAAACTGCGACGCAAAATCAATGTATTTATCTCAAAGTGCCAGCGCTGAAAATAAGTTTAGTATTGCATTTTGGGCGCTCGGGTTTAAGAAACGTTCAACATCACTGCCTTACGGCCTTGTACGGCTCTCACGGGGGACTCGAATGTCCCGGATCACCTCTGTAGTCGGGCCGGTCACAATCAGACAGCGGCGGTGACCTCTGAACTGGCAGATTAGACGGCCGCTTGCGGGGGCCTCCCGGGGTCCTAGCGAGGAGGAAGCAGCGTCTAACCTACCTGTTTATTGGCTGCCGCTGCCTAATTGTGACTGGCCCGGATAGACATGGATCCTGCAAAGGCTACCAAAAAGTATTGCACAGCCCACCTGTGACTCTTTGGTGGGCTGTGCATAATCTATGCTGGGCCCTGCCAGCACAGTGCTCCTACCTTACACGGGAAGCCCAGCCTTCACTGCTGCCTCGGCGCCCAATCGTCTCAGCTCTGCCGCTTGACTGGCCCCTTGGCGACGCCTCCTCCATTGCAGTTTCTGCCTTTGCCTCAGTCTTCACAGGCCTCTTCCATCACCCCCGACTGTCTCCGCCCCCTGTCTCATGCCGCTCCTTCCCCGTCTCCTCACGTCCTCTCATCTCCGCCTCGATCTCACTCTGTCTCCGGCCCTGTCTCATGCCGCTCCGTCCCCCGTCTCCTCCTGTCCTCTTTCATCTCCGCCCCCATCTCCCTCTGTCTCCACCCCCTGCCGCTCCGTCCCCCTTCTCCTCCTGCTCGCTCGCCCGCCCGCCGATTTCTCCCCGTCGACATTAGACAGCTCGGCTGCCTTAATGTTTTGGGGCCTGAACCTGGGCTCGCGTGCCAGCAGAAAGGGCCTCGTGTGCCATAGGTTCGCCACCACTGGCCTATATGAATGGACCTCTTCAGGTACAATTCCATGAAGATGAAATGTACACTTACCACCACGACATCCTTTAACATCCTGTGGTTTTCCTACTATTGATTGTTACTATGTTGCAGCCTACTGCAAACAGGGAGCCAGAAGCAGATAATGACGACAGTGGTAGGGGAGTCGGGTAGGGGAGTCGCTGAGAGCTGGTTTTTGCAGCATAATATCCAGAGAAAACGGTCATGGAGGCAAGTGTAAATTGGATGCAACACTTGCATCCAACGGCAGTAGGCGTGTCTTGAAGACATCCAAGTGAATGTTATTTTCATTATGAATGGTGGGTGATACGAAAACTTTGAGCCCGCTCTATATAGTCACCACATTGGCATTCCTCCTAATACCCCTTCCAAATTCTACTTTCACTGGAATCTCTATAGAGGTTAATGGAGATGACATACTGCTATAAAGGTCTTTAGAAATATTGTTTCAGATTGTTATTGGTATTGAAAAAACAATCCGTTAATAAATCATCCTTTGCCGCTACTTAGATGTCTAATGATTTCCCATCCAGGCAAGTATTATAAACCATAGCAGTGATATTAGATTGTGCCTGAGCTCTAACAAACATTCCTGACAGTGGGCAGCTAAAGTGTGTATATATAGATAGCCAAAACTGTCCTCATTCCATCCAAAACGTTAAAAAAAACCTCATAATATGTCTCCTAAACTGACTACAGGCTGCTGTCCTACAAATATTCTGCTTTTTGGAGAAGGGTGGACAAATAACTCCATATAATTGAAACCATCTTATGTACCAACTTTTGGGGGCTGATGTATAAACATTCCGCCCAGAGTATAGCACATATGCTCCTCTGCTCCATCTATTGGCAGGGATGCTATGCGAATGGCATTCACCAAGCTGTACACTGGGTGGAACGTTTATACATCAGCCTCTTAGTGTTATCTGTATTCAAAGAAGGCAGATTGAACAACAAAGTAGGTGCACTATAAATGTGTTTACATACCACATGGTAACATTGCTTTCATTTGCACTTTTAGTTCTGTCTCTTGGTCTGTGGATTCCTAACCTTCTTGGCTGTCCTGGGTGGCTACATTCCTGGCATTGTACTCTCCTATATGCTGTGTGAGTCCACCTTTTTATGGTTTTCATATTACGTAGAATAATTATGCTTGATTGTGGCTCATTAAGGGATCATTTAGGTTCTTTTTAGTGGTCAGAGATTAGCACTTGGGTTACCTGGTCAGCCTACTTACCATGGCTGTTATGAGTAGGTGTCACTATGCCTATTGGATATTTAGCTTATTTTACATTGAGGAGAAGGGACACTGTATGGTAAGGCAAGCGGAGACCTAAACTCCCACTGGAGTCAGCTATGTATTAGACCTGCAACTTTTCTTTAATTTTACTGAATAACACACTATGTGAAAATTTGGTTTTGATACCTCTACTCAAAAGCATAGTACTTAGGCCTGGTTCACACCTGGGCGTTTTACAGCGCGTTCCTACGGGCTGTAAAACGCTCAACACGTGAAAACCAATAATTGCCTATGGGCATGGTTCCCACCTGGGTATTTTACAGCGCATAGGAACGCGCTGTAAAACGCCCTACGCCCAAAGAAGTACAGGAGCTTCTTTTGGGCGTATTTGTCGCGCGTATCCATTAGGATACAGCGGGATAGCCCTCGGAAACATGCGTTTGTCGTGCGTTTCATTTACCGCAAATTCTGGTAAAAACGCGCGGCAGACGCGCATATTCCGTACGCTTAGGTGTGAACCCAGCCTTGAAGAATTTATTGCCTTTTACTCAAGATTTCAATGTGGGGCGTCACAGACCTAGAAAAATTACATGGTGATTAAGAGATATAAAGATCCGGAAGGTTAGTTACTTAGATTTCCAGATTCAATCTGCAACTAAAATAATTACTTTTGAGTGAATTTATTAATAAGGCACACGCACTGGAAGTTATAAAAAGTGTCTGCGGCACTCTTTAGAAATCCATCATGCCATTACATGTGAAATGTTGGTGCTGGTTGCTGTTTATGGTGCAGAGGGCACATTTGGGTAATATCAGCCAGCATCCCCAGCCCCTTTGTTTATATTCAGTTGCTGGCTGGGGAATCTCCAGATTGGCAGCTGAATGGAGCTGGGGGTGCATAATGGATTGCTAGGACCCCGCTGGCCCGGGGTCCTAGCAACCAGTGAACAGGATGCTGTCAGATTCCTGACAGCTTCCAGCACATACATGCCACACTGAGCACTGTCATCTCTCTGTATGCCAGATCACAGTCGGTCTTTAGTACCACCAGTTTTTCAATCTGTTAACAGTCGGTAATTCTTTTTTAAACTGTCGCATACATAGTGACAGATTCTTAAAGTGGCAGTTTTAGGAACTACTTGAACCTGTCACAAGTGTCAGTAAAGCTACCAAAACTGGCGACAGGAATTTTTTGAATTTGGCGCAGCACCCAGCCCTGTCACATGGGAACAAATCCTCAGACCTTCACAAGCACGTCATGAACCTAAACAGAGCTTCTTTCCTTTACTCCCAAAGGCTGAATGAACTGGTGGGGAAAAAAAGAAGGTAAACATTTGAAGTGAAGGGTGGCAGTTATATTGACTGTTAACTTTTGCCCTGCATTGGAAAAGCACAGGTTCCCTTTAAATTCTGTCGGCTTAAAGAGTGTTTATGACGTGCAAGGGAAAAATATGGCCACTAGTATCTGCATTGACATTCGTGTGCACAATATGCATAGCAAACTGCATTTTTTATTTGGATTGTCACATTAACTGCCTGGCTCCAAGGATTTGTCAGGTGTTGGCTTTGTTTAGCCGTGGTCTGGGCTTGGTTTACCTTGAAGGTTAATTTAATATGTACCTGACCCATGTAACGGGTTTGTTCCTACAGTGCTTTTCATCTTGCTCTGGCCTCTGGCAATATATCACCGTTTGGGACAACGTGTGTACCAGAAACTGGAGCCGACCCTGCAGCGGTTGGACTTTAGTGTCCGTGGATACATGATGTCCAAGCAGAAGGAGAGACCAGGTATGTGCTACTAATCATAATCAACCAAAAGGTCATATCTGTTTTGACCATACCCATCTCACTTTGCACGTTTGCTGTAAAGTGCTTTAACATGTAGGTTTAGTTATTTTTAATTTCATAAGGTGCTGTGTACTAAGAGTGCTAAATTTGTAGAGATCCAAAAAACCTGAAATAATGTTTGAGTGTATTTCCACTTTTGCAGTCAAATTTGAGTGAAATACACTTTAAGTTAATTGATGCAGTGCATATTCATGCTCAGCCTTTCACTGCCTTTTAAACATAATAAAACCCCTGAAATCATTTTCTAGTCTGTTTGACACCCATTTTGCTGTATATAAACAAAATTACTTTCAGCAATAATCATAAAATTACACAATCTATAATCCATCACCAGTAAAGAACCCCGGACACTGAAAATTGCAATGGTGGTCAGCGTAGAAATGCTTTCTTTGAATCGGTGGTCAGTGGTACAAAGAATGTTGGAAAATTTGCCACTGCTAAATGAGCACCTAGCAACCTCTGCAGGAACTATGGTTGAGAAAGGCTGAGAGACTATGTAAATATTGAGCTCGCAATATATGTAAATACTTCTCATGTATGCTACCTTTTGGTCTTTTAGTATACCAATAAAAGTGTTTTGTTGTATCCGTTCAAAAAGTACCTAAAACAAAACCTGTTGCTCTTTTCGGAAATGTCCTGTGCATACTTCCAGTGCTATCTCAAGAAGTTTAAGTGTCCCTCTGAGTTCCTATCTTGGACTATAGAATAAGTGTAATGTTGTAGAGGGAAAAAAATGGGAGGGTTTGAGTAGTTTAGCAAAAGAAAACTCAACAGGGCTGACACCTCTCAGTCTACAAAACTGCTGTGTGTTGTTGCACAACAGGACTTAGGAGTGCAAGTCTGGCAGATTTAACAGGTAGTTTTCTGTACTTGCAGGGTCTTTAAAAGGATAAACCATGGGGAATGTGCATGCATGTGCAGAGATGCATGTAAAGCATTTTTTTTTATTATTTTGCCCCGGCATACATTTTAAAGTGGAACTTCAGCCATTTGGCTCAAGGCACAGTTGAGATGCTGCCTCAACCACGCAGCACAGCCAGGCAAATGTCATACTTATTTCCTGGTTCAAAAATGCAGCTTCCTATTCTACCCCCCTGACTCCAACTTTGTCATTAAACCATTTGACTGCACCCTAAGCTTTGTCCTGTTTAGTCGGAAGCTGACCCAGAAAGAAGTAGAGTGATCTTCTTGGCTGTGCACTGTGTGGCGGATGTGTGTAAATCACACAAATAGCGGTATGGGATTGAAAGCTTTTTGGCAGAAACAAATATGGCCATCTGTGTATTTCACTGTTAATATAATTAAGCTGACTTCCCAGAATTCTACTTGGACAGTTAGCATGGTGCCTGGGTATTTATTCTTTAAATCCTGAGGCCATTTAATGAAAATTGCCACTTCTAGTTGTGTAGTTTGCGAAATATTTATCTGTACTAGGTACCAATTATTATATAGAGCTGGGAGTTGGAAGACTTAAAGGAGAAGTATTGGGAGAGTAAAATATACTCTTTCCAATATTTGAAGCCAGCATTGGACACCGCAGCTGTCACATGCCAGCTCTATATACTGGTACTTGCTTTACATTCTTCTCCCTACAGAGACTGGGGACTGTCAGTCACCGCAGGAATTCCCCCCTCTCTCCATTCCTCCAGCGCTGACTGGAAGGACGGACAGGGGAGGGGTGGGCACAGCTGGCTCTGGCTCTAGAGAGGCAGAGCCGGCTGTCAAATGGCCAGCCGGACAATATTGTCTGGATCCTTCCCGTCTGCAGTGCGTCTCAGTGCTGTCAGCATATAGAGGGCAGTAGTCTGCTATATGCTGACTTTGGATCAAATATACTCCTGTGACCCAAAAATAGAAGTAAAGTACTTCTCTTTTAAGTAATCTGCAGTATGTAAGGCATTTAGTTTTTCATCCGGCATTAGTAACTTTTATCTCCTTGTGATTAGTGCATGGCCGTGCTCTTCCACCCAGTGACGGAAGTGACAGTGAAGAAGAACTGGCTGCATTTTGCCCTACGGTAAGTACACACCCTAGGAGGAATCATATTTGCCTTAGAATGATTAGACCCATATCCACATACTGTTTATAAAATCAAAGTCACGTAAATATAATGACAAAGAAAAACCTTTTGCAATCTACTTTAGAACAGGACCTCAGCCATTCACAACCACTTTCAGCCAGATATTGGTGCTCTGACCTCATTAAGGGCCAGTATTGATGAGATTTTCTTTGCATCAAAAGTGCTTCTCACCATACTAGTCTATGGAGATGCAAAAAAAGGGAAGGTCAACTGCAGGTAAAAATAACTTGTAGTAAATGCTAAATAATCCATGAAGCATCTGAAACTGATGTCAAATGTACACTGCATGTGCCAGTCTGCACAATCCCAATGCCTGTTGACACCATCAATGATCGAATGATCATTCCACATGTATTGCATTAATGCATTGTCAGCCTTCTATTTTAAGGGCTCGTTCATACCAGATGCTTGAGTTAAAGGAGAACTATGGGGTCAATGTTTTTCCCCATAGTTCTCCTTAGGGTAACGGGAGGACACAAACTAGCGTCCTCCCGTTACCCTAAGCTCAGTATACCACGAGTTACAGCTCGCGGTATACTGAGACGCCGCAGCCGGAGCGGATCCCGACATGGACGTCGAGATCCGCCCAGCTGCGTGAGTGACAGCTGGCTCTGCCTATCTAGAGGCCGAGCCAGCTGTACCCGCCCCCGTCCGTTCGCCAGTCAGCGCTGGCAGATCGGAGCGGGGAGAGGGGAATCCAGCCCCTCCCCCTGTCACGGCAGAGAGCCGTGACAGGATCGAGAGGGGAGCGAACGCCGGGATATGTTCGCTCACCTCCCGATCTACTGAGCCGACCTGTGACAGTCTCATTGTCACAGGTCGGCTAGAACTATGAGGTGAGTGGAAATCACTCATCTCATAGTTCTCCTTTAAATTTAGTGAACATTTGGGATGTTTTTGGACTGCAACTTTTTTTGTTTTGAGTAGAAAAAAAGCAACTTTCTGCTGTTTTTATCTTGTTTTGGTGACACGCAATCCCCCACACACCCTCCGTCCATCCACACCACTGTATTGACCACTAAATGTGAAGGGCCCTCACTTGCTAATGGCAAGTTTTGGTCAACGTTGCATACTAGATGGCACTGTGTTGCCCAGCTAGCTCTGGAAACAAACTAAAGCAGTAAACTGCAACCTGAAGGTGCCCCTTATTAAATCCACGGGGCTTTTTAACACTTTGCCTGCCAGTTCTATATGTCCTGGCTGTCAACATTTTTAACAAACTGCAATCGATTGTTTTCAAATTTGTCAGGCGGCTCTGGCCTTTACCGTTGAAATCATTCGGACAGCCCGATTACTTCTACAGACCTCCATGATGTTGGTCTCCCCTCCCGGCAATCTCTGCAGTGACTGAACCGAGAAGCGCTCAGCCTTTTCCAAGTTTAGAGCTATCAGATCCTGGGCTGTATTGGCTGGATAAGGAGGATATCAGGGGCTCTCTGTCCCCGTGCGGTGCCCGGGAGCGGCTCGGCGGGTCTCCCCGAAGTGGTCTGAGAGAGATCTCTCCTCCGATCACTGGACCCGGAAGTGATGTGTATTACATCACTTCTGGTGTCACTGTTCACAGTCTCCGGCTCTTAGAGCCAGGAGATGAAGCTGGGGAAACAGATCTCTGCTTCCTCAGCTTCTTTGGGATCCCTAGGTGACATTAGGGGTCTGCAAGACCCCTGATGTCTCCATAAAGAGGACCTGTCACACCCTATCTGCTATTACGTAGGGTGCTTGTTAGCTCCCTATGTAATAGCAATAGGGTTAGTGTAAATAAAATAAAGTGTTAAAAAATGAAAGTAACATAGGAAAAATTATAAAATGCAAAAATAAATGTTTTAAGACCCCCACCTCACGTGCACGCACATACACACGCAGACACGCGTCGGTGCGCCTACGTGCGAAAACAACAATTGCGCTACACATGTTACATATCGCCGCAAACGTCGGAGCGAGAGCAATAATTCTAGCACTGTCATTGACTGTTGGCACTAAACTGATGAGCGGTAAACGCGTTTGGAATGTTCCCTATGGGAAATTTGGGTTATTTACTTTTTTGCGGCTTCACGGGCGAACACAATTTTAAGGCTTGACATGTTTGGAATCTATTTACCCGGCGTGACCCCATCTTTTATATTTTACAAAAAAATTGGTTATTATATTATGTTTCTGTCACTAAATTTTAATTTAGTTTATTTTTTCCTAAAAATACGGGTTTGATAAACATTTGCGCAAAAACCGTGCGACGTAAAAAATTGCACCTAGCATTTTTTTATTCTGCTGGGCCTCAGCTTTCAGAAAATATATCATTGTTGGGGGTCTGAAGCGGTTTTCTAGCCAAAAATGTATATTTTATCACGTGTGTGCAAATAGTAGGAAAATGCCCCGGATGGCAAGTGGTTGAAGCAAAGCTATGCTTTGCCCAATTTCTCTCCTTCCAGCTGCGTATACTCACATTTCCTTGGTTCCTCTGATGCTCTATTCAGAGTAAAGAAAATACCCAATACTTCTGGATATGTAGGAACATTTGATTCATTCTTTTTTTCCTCATCTACACTGCTGCTGCCTGGTGATGGCGGCCATGTGCAAACTCCAAAGAGAGCAGTTGAGTGTTGGGGTAGCCATGCAGATGGAGTTCCTACAGCTCTCTACCTGCAACTTACCTAATGTGAATTTCTTCTACAGCTGGATGACTCTGCAGTTGCAAGAGAACTCACCATATCGGACTCTGAACATTCAGATGCAGATGTTTCCTACACAGAAAATGGGACATTTAATTTATCCCGGGGCCAGACTCCTCTAACAGAAGGATCAGAAGGTAATCTAATCTCAGGAATATGAAAAGAAACGTGAAAATATTTTGGTGTTATTTAGCTTTTCATGTACACAGAAGCATGCACACTTAAACAAAAATATTTAGACTCGAGACCAATTTTCTTGAATCTTGACAGATCTCATGCAGTAAAATATTATATCTCATACCCGAAAGTCTGACTCCATTAGCTAGGGTTGCGACAGTGCAGGGAGGAATGGGGGCATGGCTCGGTGAGTAAACCTGCCTGTGAGGTGGCTATCTGCAGACACTTAATCCTCCCTGTCCCATCACACTCCTGACCGGACAAAAACCCAACTGGGTGGGTGCGGTGATGACAACGGATGCCTCCGTGAAATGTAGATAGATGAAAAGATGTGTATTATCTCAGTCAATAAACAGCATTGACTTTAATATTATGGAGTGCGAGTGACTACTTTCATCTATCTGCAGACACTGTGACTTGTCCCTTTTTTAATAGACAGTGTCAGCATCTCATTAAGTCTTTCAGAGAAGATAGTATTGGGCAGGAAGTGGTGCACTGGAAGAACAGAGAGAAAAGAATGCAGGTTTGCTGGCAACATCCTGATCAAGACTAACGTAGCTGCTAGGACAACTAAAGAAGCGTAGTTGTGTGGTATACATGGTAATATCTAAAGGAAACCAGTCATGAGAAAATTGTTTGGGTTTGTTTCTTAATCTGAGAAATGCTAGTTACCTGGCTGTCATGCTCTGACTTTATGTAGTCTAATGAAGACCCAGAACAGACCGGTGTAGAGATGAAGCATTCTTACTTTTCCCTGACCTTCATTTTCTGCATGTTACAGGTCTGTGATGTAAAAGTATCATAGCTAAACACACAGCCACTACTAACATTTTCAACAGGAGGGCAGAAGTAAATACCCCTATATCCCTCTGACAGGTGTACCGTAGTACAGGGGTAGTATATAACTGACAAACACTTGTGAGATATGGTACGGGCATCAGTTTTGCTGACTCAAAAATATGATTTATTAATACGTCAGTCCTCCTGAATTTGCATAAACTCCTTCATTTAGTCATAGAAAAGCAATACCAGCTGAAGACATATCTACTACAGCATCATGCAGTACCTCTCGTTGCCAGGGGTAGATTAGAGCCAAGTACTGCAACTCATCAAAGACCAGGAGCAGATAACCGGTAGCTAAAGTTGACTAAAAGCAAGTGGGATCAGTAAGGTCTGGGGTAACCTCTTGACGTGCAGACTTAAACAGTAGTTTGGATAGTGAGCGATAGTTTGGAGTATATCAACCAGCTGAGCTCCAAAGCTTTTTACGTCTTAGGTGTAGGCCTATTTAAGAGGATCTTAACACAAGAACACACCTTTTAGAAATGGTTAGTAATGGCAATGTACAAACAGATGCATATAGACAACTGCATGCTTTTTATTCTTTGCATACCTTCTTTTTCTTCAACCCAACCACCCCACAACAAACACCTTCTCTTGGAGGCCATTTTTAGTAAGGGCAGAAGAATCTTTCTCCCTTTACTTCCTGAAACTCTGGGTCTGCCTCCTGCAACATGACCATGCACATTATCCGAAGAGGAAAATGCCTTTCCCCTGAGATCTTGCAAGATTATGCAGTTCACAGATTTCCCAGGAAAGCACTGGTGGTGTAGCTTTCCCAGGCTGCATCGGTGAGACCAGGGCTACAGTGCTACCAGTGCAAACACAGTCATTCTAAGTAAAAATACTTGTTTAGTGAATGTAGAATTAATTTATATCCGCATGCTGCTGATATTTTTAGCGGATTGGCCGGGAAGTCAGCTCCATGCTAATTGGCTGGGAAGCCGGTTCCTAATGCTAGCGGAATTACCTGTATTGGTACTCTGTGTCGGCGAGTACCAAAAGATAAATATCGGTACTCGTACTCGATACTGAAAAACCGGTATCGGTGCATCCCTACTACTTATGATAAAAAAGTGAGCCATATATTGTTTTTTTAGTTTGTTTTTTGGCTTTCTTTTGATGGTATTGTCTTAAAACCTTTATTTGATTTTCTATGTAGTTTAAAGTTAAAAAGAAGTAAAACAGAAAACAAATACACTTTTTTGAAGTTTGACCAGTTATAATTTCAAATAAATTGTTACTATAGATATAAGGTCTTAATATTATTCTGCAATGTATCTTATTTATTTTGACACAAACCATGGCATAGTTATTTATAAATTAAATTCAGGCATTTTGTGTATGCATTTAAAAAAATAAATAAAAGAAAACAAACAGCATTAAAAGTTTGGCAACAAAAAAATAGCTAAGAAGAGCAGGGATAGGAGGAGTTAATTAGGGCCAAGTAAGTTTAGCATGGGGTTAATAAAGGGTTTATTAGCGAAAAAAAGGTAGGGCTGCAACCAACTAATCGATGATAATAATAATGAGACTAATTGCCAACTATTCTCATTATCAATTAGTTGGTTGGATCCCCTACCTCTCACCTCCACGCTGGGAGGAAGGCACAGCAAGCAGTGGGCGGGTGCAACAGCCAATAGCAGGCTGGGTATTGCACCAGCCCACTACCTGCTGTATTTACAGTCATCTGCCGTCTGTGGAATCTTGCCACTGGCAGCTGTCATTCCCTGACTGAAGCTATTCAAGTGCCATGTGCTTACAATACAAATCCTGTTGCGGGAGGTGCGTTGCAGTGCCATTCCTTTCAATAGCACCCTAAACGCGCCTCCCACCCAGTGTGATCACCCGCATTTGAATGTACAGTACTGCAATGCCATGCCTTCCAGTGTGATGCGATTGCAAGAAATTGTGCATGCAGTTTTATTCTGAAGTAAACATTGTGTTTGTAACACTCCGTTTGTGTATTTTATTTTAAATTAAGAATGATATTTATTTCTCTCCCGTTCATTGAAGGACACAGGGAACAGATCAGAGATCATGTACTGTAGGGTAATATCGCCACCTGCAGGAGAAGGACGCTAGGCACAAAAAAAAAACCCATAGATGAGCTGCATTTAGCTACTTGGTTTACATTTTACCAAATACTGTTTCTGACATTCATAGATGAAATACCTATGATAGCTATGATACACCTATTAGGACCTCAGTTGTTAAAGTGACAACAAGTCCCAGCAACTACGCGATGGGTGTGGACTCAACTGGAATGGACTCTAGGATGTGCTAGATACAAGTTGACAAATTTCGAGGTACAAATTAGAGGTACAAGGGATAAGCTTAAAAAATATCAGACCTGAATTTGAAATTAATATTCCTGCAGCACTGTGGCATTGATGTTGGCTTCTTTTCTTTCTCATCCATTGAGGGACATGGGAAGTCTTTCACCTCCAGGTTATACTGCCGCCCAGAGGAGGATTGGACACTGCCAAACAAAAAAAACTGTAGGCTAGCCTACGATAACCCCTCCTACCACCAGCATTCCTCAGTTTTTGCTACTTCCTAAGAGGATAGACATCTCTTCTGCAGCTCTGCCGTGTAAGACTAAATATTTTATTTATTTATTTATTACTAGCAGCTTTTTTTTCTCTTCAGTCAGAACTCTTCTCTTCATCGCTGCTTGAGCTTTGTCTCTATAATTGCCGCTCTCTGGAGCGGTCATCTTCAGCCTCGCTTTTGGAGTACTGGGTCCAGACCTCACTGGACTTAATGTTGCAGGGACAGCCTGGAAGTGACCTTCAAGCACTGGGTTCACATAGGTCGATTTCCAGACTCCATTCTGGTAAACGTTGGCTGTGAAATGCTTTCTGGGTCCAGAGCCACTGTCACTGCCTCACCATTTGCCGGGCCTCTGAAGACTTACTTAATGATTTGGCCGGTTGGGCTAAGTACCGTGAGCTACCTCATTTACTTAAAGTGACATTAAACCCTCAGATTTTTTAACATAAACCAATACTGTAATGTGTGCCTTACTGTAATCCATGGTTGTTTCCCTTCTCTTTGCTGCTCTTCCTTTTAAATCTGTATCTGTTCTCATGCTGGGCAGAACTTCTGTTTTGCAGCAGACTGCCTTGTCTCAGGAATGGATACACGGTGTCTGTGTATACGTTTGTATAGGTTTGTAACCTGAGCCAGCACTACAGGAAGAGGCCCTGAGCTGAAAAGGGAAGTTCTGTCCAGCATGAGAAGACATGAGGATTTAAAAGGAAGAGCAGCAAAGAGAAGGGAAACAACCATGGATTACAGTAAGGCACACATTACAGTATTGGTTTATGTTAAAAAATCTGAGGGTTTAATGTCACTTTAAGTCACTTGGTGCTATTCCTCTACTTACCAGTTTTGCATGTTGATGCCATCCATTTGGTGGAGTGTCATGTGTGCTCCTTTCTGCTATGCAGCTTCTAAGCATTTCCCTGCTGTTTCTCCTGCTGGCAAAGAGCATTATGGAACTTTGGACTAATACTGCTGCCCACCTGCGACCACTTTGTTCACTCCCGGCCATCTGACCCTCGTCTGCTATCAGCTCACGGGTGTTCATGAGTTAGCTGAAGTGTTGTCTTATCACCATGCAGGTGCAACATGTTTGATGCTAAGACATAGGGGTAGGGGGGTTAGTGGACAGTCCCACTTACTAGGTGACCCTTGCTCACATTCTACTAATGTCTTTGCAGCTGCTTGCAGCATATCTACTGATGGTGCCGATGTCTGCAGCCTTGAATCTTGTAATCTCCTGCACTTGGAGTCTTTTCCATCTTCAGAGTCCTCTTTGTGTCAATGCAAAACACTTTATTACCCAAATCAAAATTATTTTTCTGACTTTGATTGCAGAGACCACAAGTGCCCTCTTCTATTCTATATCTGATTTTCTTGTTGCCTTAGTGGCTTCTGAGCAATTGGCCACAGATCTCTGATTCTGAGTTGCTCCAATCTTTATGACTTCTCAGGGGTAAGCTTATCAGTCTACTGCGGTTACTCTCCCCACACTGCAAAGGTTAGATGCTCATTTTTGTCTAGAATACCATTATAAAGCAGAAATACTTGCCTTATCCCTAGCTCCTGCAGGCTACCTCCTATCAGTGACCAATGCCCCAAAGCCGCTTCTCTTGGTGCTTTTTCGATCACATACAATGTAGGATCAGCAGTATTGCAATGTAAGTAAGGAACCCTAGACATAACCAAGTATTTAACCCTTGAATCAGTAACTTTAAAATTTCCCCAGAGGTCCTGCCCTTGATCCGATTCAAGCAGTGACTTTACTTTGTAAAGAAAAAATGTGTAACTGGTCAAAATCCCATAAAACACATTGAACTGCTGTTGTGGTCAATTCCCTGCTTATAGAATGCGTGGAACAGATGGCTGTATCGCTCAATTTAATCTGTGATGGTCTGCTGGAAGCTTCCTGTCTCATTTTTCGCATTTGTCTCATGTCCATGCATATGCATAGGGCACTTTGGCTAAAATGCTGGACTGTGGAACACTTGTGTAAAAAGCATTTGATCCTCTTGGCCTTGTAGCGACAGCATCTCTTCAGACCAGCTCCTGACAATATCATCAAAGATGCTTCTCTCAGTGGAAGAAGCTTATGGAAAGACTGCAAATCATTTGTCATCCCCACAAGCATCCTTTGGCAAGCCTTTCTCTGCATAAATGTGCGCCCCAACTCCCCAAGGTGGGTGGGGGGAAGGGGGCATGCGAACCCTTGGACGGCTTGCATCTCATGCACTTGGGTGCAGAATGTGGCATCTTGGGGCTACAAACTGGAGTTTCACTCTCTGCCCCCTCCTCAGACCATCATCCATACTTATGCTCTCAAGGGTCAGGTTCCACCATTTCCTGTCAAGGCGCATTCTCTTAGATCTGTAAGTACTTCTTGGGCTTTTCAGCATCAAGCAACTGTTTTCCAGATTGGTCAGGCTGCCACCTGGTCTTCTGTTCACACTTTCTACAAGGGGAATATTTTGCCCTATCTGATAAGCTGCAGGCATTACCCAATTATTATAATTTTTTTATCTTCTTGGGGCTGTTAGACATTTGTGTTGTCCTTTTGAAAGACTCAGGTCCCACACTACTGTTTTTGATTATGCTCTCAATACTGCTTTGCTTCAAAACTGAGGCATGCTGGTTGTATAAGGGGTCATCCTGGGCTGGCCTATAGTTGATTAATTTGCCAGTCTCCAATCCTCTTGTAGGTGACAGTATAACCCGAAGGTTAAAGACTTCCTGTGTCCCTCAGTGGACTTTACGGTAAGTATAACTGTCATGTTTATTCTCTGTAATATTTAAACTTGGTGAAGCCTGTGTACAACCACATCTGGCAGAAGAGAAGTAAAGCTGTATGTCACTAGATATATGGTGCAGATAGGCGTATTCTGTAAGGATGATCAAACAAAGTACCACCACAAGCCAGTAGCAGGAGCTTTTCTAGCTAAGTATTCCTATTGTAAGACTGTATAATGTGTGACTTATTCATATTCTTACTTTGTATAGACCTGGACCGCCACAGTGATCCAGAAGAATCTTTTGCCCGAGATCTCCCTGATTTTCCTTCCATCAATCCAGAGACCGTAGGAATGGATGATGAAGATGACACCAGCATTGGGCTGCCTCTTTCAGCCGGTCATCATCGTATGTCTTCTGGCCAGCTGTATGATGATCAGGAGTCATCCGAGTCTGAAATACCACTAGCACTTGGAGCTCAGCAGATCAAAGACAACCTTACCAACCTAGTCACAAGAGGGATGATACAAATGGCATTGGCAGGAGTCACCCAGCAAGCTTCTGGCTTTTTTGAAAACACAAGACCCAAAACATATCAGAGAAACTCAAGCTCTGAGATGGACACTGATGCAGAAGCTGATGACTTTGAGCTACTGGACCAATCCGAGCTAAGCCAGATGGATCCAACCAATCCACGTGGCCAACAGTAATTTACGAGGAAGGTGCCAGTCTCTTGTGAACATACAATCTTATCTGTTTCTCATTGTAGACCAGTATCTTCAGGCTGTGTTTGCTCAGTGTGTCCCTGTGTGAGGTTTCCATTTCCTAATACAGGCTTACCAGCCTGCTGCTTTATCACTGTGAAGTCTGACCCAGTAGATTAGTCATTCTGGATTGAAATATTCAGTATTTGAAATTCCTGCTGGACAATGTGCAATAGGTTTGACCTTTCTCATAAATGCCCCATCTCAGTCTAGGGCTAGAGAACTCCTATGTTTGTTATTAATGTAAAGGTTTTTAATTTTTGGTGATTTAGCAGTGGGGACACATTTTATTTGTAGGTGTCCTAATTCATACCTTGTGGTTCGCTGTCCCCCCATCGTGGGGCAGCTTTTAAAATCTGGACCGAGCACTTAGAGATGGTGAAGATTGGAGTGGATTGTTAATATTGTTGATTTATAGAAGAGTGCCCCTACAATCTGTGGATTTGAATATTTCTCCTGTCTGTGGTGGGGCTTCATTCTGTGTTGTACAGTGCAACATTTCCTTTATAATGGAGACCACATCCTCTCCTTCTTCCTAGACAAAAGCACTTTTAATTTTGAATACATTTTGGTTTTCACTCACCATCTGTAATATTTTTGTTTTTTATTATTATTATAATTCTAACTGGAATGACTATATAGAGCCTTAACATATTCCTTTCATCTTAGACCATCCACTATGGTCATAGTGCCAAATGTATCCTCCTGCCACAGGTCATGGCGGTGTTTCCTGGCCTAGTGGTGTTCTACAGCTGATTCCTTCACCAGAAAGGTAAGTGCTGAAATCTCAACAATCCAGCTTGACACGCGAGAGAAAGTGCTTTTCTCGCAGAAGACGTAGATCTTGCTAACTAAAAGCCCAGTGAGTAAAGCAAGAGACTGGTAACTTGCCATATTTTATAGCATCAAAATAGGAGAAGCGTCATTACAAGGATCATATACACCAGAGGGGTTTATTCAATAAAAAGTTCTTGAAGCAATGCAGTCACCCAGAGCAGCCTATCAGCATTTACCAGCTAAAATCTGGTCACTGTGGCCATCACTGTTCAGCATATTTGGTAAATGTTACCAATAGTTGATTGCTATTAACTCTTACTGAATAGTAAAATATATGTGTGTTTAACTTTTGGTTGAATCGTTGACAATTTAAGGTTAATAGTCCCTGGTTTTTCAGTTCTTTTCCCCAACTCTGGCTTTGGATATACAGGGGACATTTATGAACGTAGTTTCCAAATTTCCAAATGTCTTACCATGCAAATCTGTGCAAATCATTCGCAGTTCATATTCCACCTTTTGTGGCTGAAAGTGTCCAAAAGCTGCGCCGCTTCTGCGAATGTCTGCGGCCAACCTGCACATGTCTGCCTGTTTCCACACATTCCTCATAGGTGTTATAAACTAGATTGCAGCAGAATTAACAAGCCTATCTGTTACATAATTAGAAAGTGATGTGAATACTTTTTAAATAGGTGCAATTATATGAAAATTACTTTTTAAAACTTTTTAAAATGCGTTTTCCAAGAGCTTGTTTTTTTTTTTTAGGCAAATTGCAAAATGTTGGCAAATCGATCACACATTTGCATAATCTGACTATGGGCACAAAGCACAAACACACATTAATTACATGAAAAAAATCTGTCCCTTTTCTTTTTCTGTCTATCATAATGTGGCACATTAATAAATTTCACCTCTTTGATTTAGTGATAAATATCCCCCACTTAGGTAGACTATAGTGATGTGACCTGTGATTTCTTTATACCGTCACACTGGTGCTGCCTAGTGATTGCAGCCAGTTATGCAGTGGGGAAGGGACATTGGCATGTGCTTGTACATTTATATTTTATTTAAACTGGCTAATGCCCAGAAATATTTAACATCGTTCAGAGAAAAGAAACTGAGCAGCAGTGAACCAGCCGCTCCATAATTGATGGCATTTCTGCAGTAATTGCATTTGCATGCAGACAATAGTGAACAGGGTTTTTTTGCACCAGATGCAATAAAAAATGCATGACGTTTGACATGCACACAGAAATTGCAGGGGAATTAAGCTATGTTCTGATGTGTATTTAAAGGCCTTCATTTAACTAACAGGATTTGGAAACCGCTGCATGCAAGATGTTTTTAAAAAGGCCCTACAACACTTTGCTGTGATGAGAACAAGCCCCACTGACATGAATGGCCATGACTGATGAACCCAGTATAGGGACTGCAAACTGCATGAAATCGCTTCTGCCATGCATGAGCCTTTCTCTTCCGCATGCACAGTGCTTCCAGTTGTCTGAAGACTTGCACAATGCTTAGTGGCAGGTCCCAGACCCACTGTCTATAACTAGCCTAAGTGTATGGGTATCTGTTCAATTTTTCCACCTGTTTCTAAGTTTTATTTCTAAAACAAGAAAGAAACTGCAGCTCCAGGTTTTCCACATTAGCAATATGCACTATTTTGCATTAATAAAATGTTCCACACATTACTCAAAGTGCGCTAACCAAGTCACCACAATAAAAGTGAGTGGTGTCCACAGTTACCACTTTAAAATGTACATCAATGTAGACCTGTGTTACAAATACAAATATTTTGGTCAGACTCTTACCTGACATAAATACATTATAACCACCACAATACAGTGCTTTCCTATATAGAAAGTATCAAGTAATGTCAAAGGAGGGCTTCATATATTGACATGCACATATAGATCAAAAACTTTATGATGATCAAATGTTGGTTATGTTTCTATTCAATCAATAGCAGCCAGTACTGGTTATTAGGTGTAAGGCCTAAGAAACACAATGGGTCTAGCAATAAAACGGCTCTAATAGAAAAAAATAAATATGAAAAGATGGTACCTGCAAGAAGAACAAGGAATGCTGTGACAAAGGCTCCACACATATTGTGGTGCAGAACTCCTGAAGTAGCTGCTGCTCTCTGATACACGAGCCATTGTCACTGCGCTCCCTACATTTGTTTTTCCTTTTATTTCTTGTTTTAAAAAAGATTTGCACTTCTCATGTTGTGGATTATGGCCTTTTAAAGAGGAATTGAACTCGAGAGGCTATACCCCCCCAAAAGAGGCGATACGTGGGGATGCGCCGATACCAGTTTTTCAGTATTTGAGTACCGATAATTTTCTTCAGTATTCGTTGATACCAGGAGTCCCAGTAAAGTGACATTAAACCCTCAGATTTTTTACATAAACCAATACTGTAATGTGTGCCTTACTGTAATCCATGGTTGTTCCCCTTCTCTTCCTTTTAAATCCTTATCTCTTCTCATGCTTGGTGAGAACTTCCCTTTGCAGCTGAGTGCGTCTTCCTGTAGTGCTGGCTCAGGTTGTGAACCTGCACACAGACACCATGTATCCATTCCAGAGACAAGGCAGTCTGCTGCAAAACAGAAGTTTTGCCCAGCATGAGAAGAGATACGGATTTAAAAGGAAGAGAAGGGGAACAACCATGGATTACAGTAAGGCACACATTACAGGATTGTTTTATGTTAAAAAAATCTGAGGGTTTAATGTCACTTTAAGGAAGCCCAGTGATGTGTAATGACTCCCCGCCCTGCTTCCTGATTAGCCGGGAAGCCGTCTCCATGCTCCCCCATCACCAGGTGACTAGGAAGCTTGGGGGCGGGTAATGACTTGCCGGCCAGACAAAAGAGGAAGGAGTTGGCTTCCCGGGCCAATCAGGAAGCCGGGTGGCATGTAATGACTCACCATTACACGCCACCAATGGGTTGTTCCAGGGATTGGGCAATCGGTTCTTCTAGAGTGGGCATTCGCGATTTGTGGAGAAAGGCTTTGATGAGGGTTAACCGTGCCTCTCGTGCCCCCGCGTCTCGAGGCGACTGTGAATATAGGTTGTATAGCATCTGGTAATAGCTCTGGAAACATGCAGCAATGTCTGGAGGCGAGGATTCCACCACTGTGTCGGACATCCGGATGCCCTGAATATGCGAGCGGAGGTTCTGAGCGCGGGTGTGTACGTGATGACTTGAGGTTCCTTAACCTCTGAAAAGCAACTAGAAAAAGACAAAGTGGCATGAAGATTTCATAAAACTATGAACAGTATTAAAAGGTGGATTAGAAGCTAAACAGTGGAAAAATTCAAACTGCCTGGGTGTTCTTCATGTAGCTGAGGTTAAAACATGTGCGCACATATACCAGGAACAATTTGATTTGATGGCATGGTAAATCTATAAACCATTTTGGACGCATAACAATGTTTGTGTTTTCTCCCCCCTCTCTCATTCTACAAGTGGGCATGATGCACAGCCATTTGCTTATCTCAACTGGGAGATGAATTGTGTGTCAGTCAAACTTCAAGCAATGGTCAGAGAACAGGACCATCTGTTATTGGAAATCACAGGCATATTAACCATTGCAGTGAGGTTACCCACTGCAAGGGTTAACTGCTCCTTTTGGTCTAGGGTCTACAATAAAAAAAATATATACTTACCCGTTCCTCGGTCCTGCCTGGCTGCTAAACCGGTCCCACAGCCTCTTTTCTCCAGCGGTGTAAGGACCCGTGACGTCATCACCTCCATTCACTTGCATTGGACTTGAGGACACTGATGGACATTCTACGGCCGGAGTGGAGGGGGAGAGAGGCGAGCTGTCCCCGCCGCGGCACCGAGGATCAGGATATATTTTTATTTTAGACCCTAGGCCAAAACGAGCACTTAACCGTTGCAGTGTGGGGGAAGGCCCACTGCAAGCGTTAAGGTTTAATATGCCTGGATTTCTTTTATTTAAATTACCAAAGCCTCAGAGGTTTCAGGCCGTTACCCCCCAACCCACATACCTACAATTCTTACCCTGTGCACAGAAAGAATCAGGAGACAAAACGTTTGGGGCATATAAAGATACCCCCACATCTTGTGCCATGTAAATAAGCCCACTGTAGGTCTCAGCTGACAGTAATCCTTGGTTAGTTTTACTGTCAATTCTTTTCCCAGAACCAGCATCCAATACCTGTCTCCAGTTAGGCTCAGAGTCAATAGTGCTCGCTGAACAGAACTTGGAGATTAAAACAAAAAAATAATTTGTACAATGTGGTAACGGAACCTGTTATTTCTTCTTCATTAACAAGTCAAGTCAAACGCATCCACGCTGCACCACCAAAGTCAATGGGAATATGTTGACCTGCGTTTGATGTGCCTTTCAAATGCAGGAAAACAACCCCTATGAACATATGCCCTAAAACTGCTGGCAAATATTAAGGAATAACACTTGAAGTACATCTGCTTCCAGGCTGTGGACATTAAATGAAAACAGTAGAAGAGCTTTAAAACAAGCCATCCCTGACCTCTCTAGCTGCTTGTAATGTAAAGTAACAGAGACAGCTTAGAAACACTTGCTGTTTACAGGAAGCTCCGATTTTACTGAGGGTTCATTTATGTGACATCGTTGTGTTGCCATGCACTTTTCCTCAACTCGTGGTTACATACGTTGATGTGGTGCCACTCATTCTGAATGGCAACCCAACGCACCTTTCAACAGACGTGCGTTACGCTGCCAAAAGTAGTGTTTCTCTATTATCCATTGAGGGACAAAGCTCTGAAGAATCTGATACAACTATTTAGGCCACTGC